GGGTTAGGAAACATGGGAAATGCTATTTAATTGCTCCTCATTTTCCAGCACCACTGCCTACACCCTGTTGGGAAATGCGGGTTTCAGAGCGATCACTGCCAGACCCCAAGCCCCTTTTTCCTGCCTCTGTAATTACACTTGTGGTACTGCAGTTGTTGGTAGCTGATGCTCTCTGTCCCGTGCAAGCGTTACGAGGGGATGAGTCTCCAAGGCACACTAGAGCCCTATTAAACAATATTGCTCCATCTTCGAACCTGTTGCTTAATTGAAGCCTTTTAAATTTTTATTGCCAAGTTGGCAGAAATTGCCATTTTTAGTGGGCTTTTCATCTTCTCTAACGTGCCGTGCCGATGGGGAGCAGCTGAGCCGGGGAAGTACCATCATCTGATCCCATCCATTATGGGAGAGGCTCGGGTGGTGCTGCCAAGATGAGGTAAACTCAGCCGGGAAAAGGGGAGCTAAAGCCAGGGGGGATTGATCTTTTCCCAGGGGATCAGCCCTCTGACATGGAATGTCCAGTGTGTCCACCCAGCCTTGGTGCCATGGTCTGATGCTGGGGGGATACTGCAGCCTCCCCAGGGCTGTGCACAGCACAAGAGGCTTGTTAAAGCACCAGGCTCAGCCAAAAGAGCCAAGAAAAGGGAAGAATTGAGGTGGATCCCTCTGAAGCCAAAGTAGCAGGAGCTGAAGGCACTGCCCTGCTCGGGGTAGTCCTGCCCTCCCGTGGGACCCATCAAGGGGGGTGACAGCACAGTGTGCCCCAGGCTGGCTCCTGCACAGCCCAGGGCTTTGCCCATTCATGAGAAAACAAACCTTATTCATTAGGCTCAGGAATTGCCATGGAAACCGCTCCCCGGCGTGGCTGGAGCATCTCTCGCTGTACAGGGATCTCCCCATGTGAAATGGTGTGAAACCCCCCCAGAACAGCAGCTATGGCCTGGCACGTCCATGTAAACCGCTCTGGCTCCTTCCACATTGCATTCAGACACAGTCACTGCTGCAGCAAGTAACCCAGGGATGCTTTCCACCCTTCCCCATCAAGACACTCTTGTTTTAATCACAACTGCCCGTTATGCGTTTCCTTCTGCTGTGCTACCTCCCAGATCACTTTAGGGAGCTCTGCCCTGGCTCCCCTTAAACTTGAGGGCATGGCTTTGGTCTGAGATTACAGACAGAAAGCATTTCCCTTCAGCCACGAGTCCACAGCACAGAAACAGCTTGGCCTATACAACCCAACAACCCTGTTTGATGGAGGAAACCTCCCGCTGGCATTGCCTTTGCTGATTCAGCACACACAACCAATGTGCATGTAAAGTTCCTCTTATGATGCTGTGAGTGCAAACCCGCATGACATCGTTACTGCATTAATGATGCAGTTCCAAAACTGGTAAATGCATCTTAAAAGTGTCAGTCTGCAGGAATCAGAGGGCTCAGCCACTGCAGGAGGAGGGGAAAAGCTGACTTTGTACCTCTTTTTAGACTGACAGCTAATTTTAAAGGGAGATTTAAGGAGATCATGCACCATCACGGAGCCAGAGTTTGCTGTTGACAAGGGGCTTTTGGAAAGCTCTGGGTATAAAGATCCAGGATTTATCACTCTGGCACCAAGATGAAAGCCCTCACTTGCATTAAGCGGCTGCATACCTGGAAAGGCAGGAAATCGGGAAGTAAAGCCCAGTAAATACTCTTATTTCCAAGACTGGGATGGGGGACAAAGGGTTCCACTGGAGCACAGGCAAAGGGAATAGTAACAGAGCCAGAAATAACGCCAGGAGTCTCTAAGCCAGCCACAAATCAATCCCCTACACACTAAAGCCTGTCTCAAAGACGATGCACATCTACCATCACACCAAGGCAAGTCTGCCCAATTCCACACTTGAGAAGTGCTTCTAACTAACACAGAGGCTGCTCTGAGCTGGGAGATGTCTCTACTTTTACTTCTATTCCTCTGGAATAGCTGGAGGGTCATTTCATTTATGTTTCATGGTTTAGGACCCCAGTAACCGGCTGGACTCAGCTCTCTGGGTGCTGCTCATGGGCTCTGCCTTAGTGAAGGAGCAGCACGTACCTGCCCCAGATGTGAACAAAAGATGTGCATTCAGGGCTTGAGAAGGTGGGTGATGCCCAGCTGGCCCCTATGGGGTACTTTAGAGGAGGCAGAAGCATGTCTGTGCTGTAATGGTTGTAATTAGGTAGAAAAATGACTTTATGGAGAGGAGGGACTGGGGGAGGCAGCATTGCCCATGGAGCCGAGGCTGCTCCAGGCAGGCAGCTTGAAGAACCTCTGGATCTCCAGTTAAAGCCTTTACAGTCCATGGTACGACTTTAAACCAGATACAGAAGCCCTGGCCCCAACCAGAAACATGCCTTTCCCACTCCCAGCATCAAAACACTGGGAAAACCTGCAGAAGAGGGGACCTGCTTGAGCAGAGAGCAACCCCAGATCTATTTTTCTTGTCATCTTCTCTATCTTCCCTGCCTGGCAGGAGGGTGTTTTTTTTTCCCTCTCAGCTTGCTGTCTTCTTGATAGGAATCTGATTTTTTAATAGAAATAATGCAATAACTAATGCTGGCAATGGGATGGGGAAGATTTACAGCAGCTGTCTGCAAAGTCTCCAGCATGTATGCTATTTCTATCTTAAAAGCAAGTCCTTGAGATCCTCGCTGCAGGCTCCAGCTCCCAGCCATGCTCCCACATCTTGCTGAAGCCGGGATGTTTAAGGAAGACAAATCGTTCCCATTACCATTTGTGCTGCCAAGTGAGTCTGATCGGAGGAGGTGCTGCCAAACCCCTTCGGCATCACGCACAACACAACCCCAGCCTGCTTATGGGGCATGCGGAGTGCTGTGTAAATGGGTGGTGATGCCAAGACATGGGATGCTCCGCTCCGACACCGACTTCCTCTGTCCCCTTTGGCAAGTTGATCCCTGGGGCAACTCAACATCTCCAAGCTTTCTGCCAGGAGCTGCCATTTCCCATCTGGAGCCATTACAGGGAATATCTGGCCCTAATCCCGGAGCTGGTAACCCTAACCCTGGTATCCAGCCCACACCATTCTGCAGTGTTTATGCCCACAGCAGCCACAGGCTTGGGGCTCACCCAGCATGCTCCCTGAGATGCACAAGAGGCAATGGATAAGGCATTCAGTGCCTGGTAATTGCTGTCAACAGTTCTCATGCTTGTTAATCAGTTTTCCAGCCCTCCAGCCTCTTTACCTTGCAGAATGCCCCATGGAAGCAACGCTGGGTCCCCTGGGGCAGCAGAAAGCAGTTGCAGAGCGAGGTGAGGACCTTGGGGATGAGAAGAAGGGCTTGTGCCAAGGCAACGGGTGTGAAAACTGCCCACAATGGGTTTTCAAGCCTCTTTGTGCTTCGGACACCATCAGAGGCTGCCTCAGACCTAAAAAGCCCTTTGCCTTGGCTGTTACGCTCCCAACGAAAGCCCTGCGTGCTAATAAAGCTGCTCATTTTCTCCTGCCCACCAGACTTCCCACCAGGTACGAACCGACAGCAGCGAAACGTTTCTCTGCTTTAACTGAGCTCTCCCACTGGGATCCCATAACGCTCATCATCTCCGGGGTGATTACACACAAGCCCACTGTAATGAAGGAGAGAAGAGCTGCATCCGGGCTCGCCGAAACGCAGCATCTTCAGGTGTATTTTGGTACCTGGCGATGTATTTGGGGATGAATTCCTCACGTTGCTGTGAGCTAAAGTGTGACAACTGCAGCTCTGATCTCCACGGACATTAAATCAAAGCAAACCCTTCAACAGCTTGGGCTTGCTTTCGTCAACTTGATTTACGTCTCATTTGAGGGTGGATACAAGAGCAGGGAAGAAAATGAGAGAAGCAATGAGGCAGGAGGGCTGGAATGAAAGCACCAGGGCCAGGATGGGGGGAAAAAATCATTCTGCTGGCCTGCTTCCTGTACCCCTGATGAGGATTTGGGTGTAATGACACTGCACCGCATCACATCCATCCACACATGATGATGTGTCACCGTCAGGACTCAGGGAGGGTGATCCTGAGCCACGAGCATCCCACCACAGCTTATAATGAATAATGTGACTATTTCTGTGTTACCTGAAAGGATTCACGCTGTTCTACATAATGAAATACTCTCCTCTTCGTCTCTTTTTATGCCCCTGGAGTGTGAAAGCTTTTTGGCAAAAAGCATCCATTCTTGGTGGGTTGGAAGGTACCCAACGCACAGAGCAACTGCCAGAGCTGAACCACGGAATTACAGCATGCTTTGTATTGGAAGGGACCTTAAAGCTCCTCCAGCTCCAACCCCTGCCACGGGGGCAGCTGCACGTCCCTCTTGTGCTGCTGCCCCAGAGCTGGATCAGGGCTGCAGGGGGGTCTCCTCAGAGCACAGCAGAGGGGCAGGATCCCCTCCCTGAGCTGCAGCTCATGCTCTGGGGGTGCAGCCCAGCACACAGGGGGGGTTCTGGGCTCAAGTGCACACTGAAGCCAGGTCATGGGGAGCTTCTCCTCACCCAACACCCCAAGTCCTCCTCCTCAGGCTGCTCCATCCAGTCTCCCCCAGCCTGTGTTTGTGCTGGGATTGCCCCGACCCATGTGCAGGACCTTGCACTTGGCCTTGTTGAACTCCATCAGCTTCACATGGTCCCACCTCTCCAGGCTGTCCAGGTCCTTCTGGATCCCATCCCTTTCCTACAGCGCATCAATGACACCTCACAGCTCGGTGTCATTGGCAAACTTGCTGTGGGTGCTCAATCCCAACATCCATGTTGGCAACAAGGCAGGGAAATTACCAGGGATGAAGCCCCTTCTGTGGCCAGAATTAAAAGGATCATGGGCAATGCATGGGAAGCAACACCGAAAAACCTGCCCTCACCCCAACCAAATTGAAGCAAGGTATTAAAACTACTGTTAATGATGAGGATGACTCTCCAGGGGCACTGGTACATAGAAGCAAGCTCTCCCACAGACCCCCTGGAATGATCTTGGTATGTAAATGAAATGCAGGACTTACCCTTTGCTCCTGGGTGGCCACAAAGGTCTGGAATCCAGGGGCCACCCCGAATCCCAGCTCCTGGACAAAGGGTGGCTCAGACTGGCTGTGGATCTGGACTTTGACTCCAGCCTCAAACGTTGTCTCCTCTGGAAGAAGAAGGGAGGAGGTTAGGAGGCTGTGGTGGGTCGGACAGTGTCCGCCTGCACGGGCCTGTCTGCCCCTCCATGGAATATGGTATGTGGTAAAGCTGCGCTGCTTGGGAGGAGGAGACAAGCGGTTGGGAGTGCTCCACCTGCATGAGGACGCTTCTGGGCATTGAGGAAGAAAACCCAGCAGCAGCAGCATGAGCAGAGGACAGCCTGGACTCAGCCAACATCACCAGTGCTGCCCATCGGGACCAAGAGCATCCCCAGGCTCCTGGTCCTTTACCCTGCTGCCTATCCCAAGGGCTCACCCTCTCTAGAACACAGATTCATGATTTCTTCAGCTTGCTCTGTACTTCCAAGCTAGAGAAAACAGGAGGTGACATCTACTTTCTAGCTGCTTTTTAGTTACAGGATTCATTCCCTTATTACTAAAACAAATAAACTCTTTCCTCCAAACAGAGGTTTCTACTGTCCATAAGGTTTCCTACGCTGAAAGCCTTTGATGCAGCCTGAGGCCACTTGGGAGACAATGTAGGGAATTAAATAACCAAAAAGTGGGTTACATTCAAAGGAGCTCATGTTTTTGGCAGCTGAAGTTGCTCCAAGCTGGACAAAGGCATTTGCAGCCCAGGGGCTGACACATCGCTGAGTTAAGGGTGACGTGAGGTTCCCACATCCCAAAGCTATGCTGAATACCAAGTGACTCGAGGTCAGTCCCCCTCTTCCACGAGGAGCTAAAACCAACCCAAAAGAGACTTTATGAAGCAGAATTAATGGGATGCAAATCAGCCCCGAGTGTGACACAGGAACACTCTGGGCTCCTCTCATCACACAGGCATCTTCACACAGCTGGGGCATGCAACCTTCCTCTCCTTAGTACTGCTGCTATGGTCTCACATCTCAGCCAACTGGAGGGAACATATGGGCCTAAGGGGTGGGGGACTGATTTGCAAAGGAAGTTGTTAACTCTGCATAATTTGGTTTAAATACCATGTTACCCACTAATACGAATCCATGCCTGTGACCAGCAATACCACCTCCACGTCTAAACAGCTTCTGTTTAAAGATGAATCATTCTTTATTTTCTTACTCTTTCGTGGTGTTTTTCTACTATTCTGTTACGTATCTCGGTTTTTACCAGCACTGTGTTCAGTCTGAAGCACTGATAGAAACTCGGCACCAAGGAATCACAGCCACAGAGCTGTTACACCAGGGACTGCACAGGAGACAACAACAGAAGACACTACAGCAGGCAATGATATGGTCAGAGGAGAAGGGCAAGGGTTGAGTAAGGTATTACTGGATGACATGAGGATTAGAGATCAGGTATCGGGACCCCACTGCTTAAGAAGATGTAACTGCTGACTCAATTGGGCAGCAAACACATCAGCCTTTCTCTCCCAAGAGGACTTTCTTGGATCCTGCTCACCTCATAGCTCCCAAGGCAAACGAAGACAGAGACTGCAAGGATGGGAATGGGCTTATGCATGGATTTGTCATGCTAAGCATGATCAGTCACAGTGCTTAACAAGTGATGGTCCGAGAAGGTTGGATCAGAAACCTCTGGAGACCCCAGCAAGATGCGCTGCTGTCACCTTCACTCCAAGTGAGCAAATAAACCCTCCCTGCCAACCTCAAACCACACACTGCACAAAATCATATCAGAGGATCCCAGACTGGTTTGGGTTAAAGGGACCTCAAAGCTCCTCCAGCTCCAACCCCTGCCACAGGCAGGGACCCCTTCCACTGGAGCAGATTGCTCCAAGCCCCTGTGTCCAACCTGGCCTTGAACACTGCCAGGGATGGGGCAGCCACAGCTTCTCTGGGCACCCTGTGCCAGCGCCTCAGCACCCTCCCAGGGAAGAGCTTCTGCCTAAGAGCTCATCTCAGTCTCCCCTCTGGCAGGTTAAAGCCATTCCCCTTGGCCTGTCCCTACATCCCTTGTCCCAAGCCCCTCTCCAGGTTTCCTGCAGCCCCTTTAGGCACTGGAGCTGCTCTAAGGTCTCCCTGGAGCCTTCTCTTCTCCAGGCTGAGAATTGCATTCAGATTTTAGGAGCAAACAACATTTTTAGAGCCCCATTGTGACAGCAAGGCTGCTTTACACGCTGGCTACACAAAACCTGATGCTCTGCACCTGCAGCCACATCTCATCCAGCAGCATCTCCATATCTCAAGCACTTGACCCTGGCAACCTTTGCAGCTGGATCTATGAAACTTTCAAACCCCAGCTTTTCTACCTAAGGCACAAATTGAAGACAAACAGGACTCAAAGTTCCCTTCCTAGGTCTGGAATACACCTGCAGATGTCTGGGATGGCAGTGAGCTCTCCATGCACTTGGTCAGGGCTCAGCTCCACGCAGCTGGAGCTGGACTTTCAGCCAGAGATGTATTGACCTGCAAGGCTCACTCTTAAACACACGCTCTCATCGATTGATGCCTCTGGTGCTCATGCTTATCTACCTGCCTGTGCATGAGCTCTGCAATGCTCCATGCAAATAATAATTTATTTTTGCCTCCTTGTGACAAAAGTGCTTTTGGTAACTATATATTGCCATGGCTTAGGGCACAGAGCATTGCTTACTGCATGGGGTGGCATGTGGTGGATGTGGAGCTTGAGTGCATCTCCTCTGAATCCCATGCTGGTGGGATGCTGGCACAGAAAGTATGAGTTAATTTTGGCTTTTCCCTACACTGAAGCCTCCCAGAGCAAGGCTGGCATTGATCATCCTTGCTCTTGGCCTGTACTTATGTGCAAGACCCAACAACCACAACCCAAATCACTCCCTACCACTTTCCCGTGATGGAGGCAACGCAACCCTACTGTGACAAAACCCTGCCTTGCTTTTGCTCAGCTGTAATTGGGCTCCCCTTGCTCCAAGAGGCATCAGATGGATGTTGCCACATCCAAGCTCCCTGTCAGCTCAAGCTTTGCATTCCCAACACATGAGGGGTTCCATTTGAGGGTCTCCTCCTTGCCAACACCTCCCCAGAGGTGACCCTTTGAAACACCCCAGTGCTGAGGGTCAAGCCACCTTTCCTCAGAAGCTTTGTCAATGCAGTGTCCCCATCCAACCTCATCACTGCTCAACAGCACCACAGCAGCCCTGAGCTCTGCAGAGGCCTCAGCACCTAGATGCCCAAGCCCCATAGGTGAACACACCCCAGAACGGGCTCAAACCCTTTCCTGAGCCCCCACCAACTCCTCCAATGTCAATCCCCGTCCTGTCATTCCCACACGACGCCCACTCCTACTGATCCCACCTGCTCCATCACTTTGCCTGGCGTTGATCCCCTTCCAGTACTTCAGAGGAGATACCATATGCTCCCTTCAGCAATTACCTGCCAAGTTGGAGGAGAACGCTTCTATTTAGTCTCACTTGTTGGGCAACGGGAACCGTTTTGTCGAAACATTTTCCATCCCAAATTATTCTGCCCTTTTTTACACCAGGATCTGCTCTGCTCTGACTCAATTCCATGTATTTCCCATGCCTAGGTGTTGCCTTGAAGTCTGTCTGTGGATAAACCCCTGTACATTCGTATCAAATCCATATCAAACAAGATTCTAATGGAATCATACAATCATAGACCAACCAGATTGGAAAAGACCTTTAAGATCATCAAGTCCAACCTTTACCCCAGGACTGCCTATAGCCTGCAACTATCCATAAGAGACTTAAAAGCAACAGGACTTGTATTTTTAAACAGAAAACCATGGCACGTAGGCAGCTCTAATCACGGCCGGGGAGGGGACAGCAGTTTTTAGGCCATAAAAGAAGCTCTGCTTTTACAACACACAGTTATTAATTTTCATCAGTGATGAAAAGCAGCATAAACAGCGCTTTTTGTGGAGAAGTTGCCAACCCCCCAGCAGCATTCCGCGTTTTTCCTGCAAGAACCATGCGAGGATGAAGCTATAAACATGAAACTGGCTTTGAAAAACTCTACTTCTAAGAAATCATTTACTACAAACTCCCTGTTTGCCACCACGAGAGAGAAATTAAAAGCCCAACTACGAAACCCTTTGATGAAATATGCCTGGACCAGTCCTCATTAGCTGCATCTCAAATCTTTCCAAGCTCCGTGCTGGGGCTGAGAAGCATTAATGTGGGTTAAACACTTGCTGCAAGCATAAGGAAGAGGAAGGTCTCACAGGGCCCAGAAGCACAAGACTTTTCTGGTTCTGGGTGCATCCAGCTAAAATGAACATCCCTGAAGCAGAGCCAAGCCCAAAAGGTTCTGTGGCAAACCCTGGCCATCACCCTGATTCTGGAGGGGTGCATCCAGGGCTGTGAACACCCACAGAGATGTGTCCCAGCCATGGTTTTGCCAATTCTTGCAGTTTTAGCATCACCCATCAATAGGGTGAAAAATAACCCTGAAAACCCTTTGACAGTATCTGAAGGGGGCTACAAGGATGCTGGAGATGGACTCTTCATCAGGGACTGTAGGGATAGGACAAGGGGTGATGGGTTCAAACTGAAACAGGGGAAGTTCAGGATGGATACAGGGAAGAAGCTCTTCCTTGTGAGGGTGCTGAGGTGCTGGCACAGGGTGCCCAGAGAAGCTGTGGCTGCCCCATCCCTGGCAGTGTTCAAGGCCAGGTTGGACACAGCCTTGGGTGCCACGGTTTAGTGTGAGGCATCCCTGCACGTGGCAGTGCGGTTGGAACTGGATGATCTTAGGTCCTTTCCAACCCAAACCATTCTATGATTCTATGACTGGCTCAAATGGCATTAAAAATAAAACTAAACTGCAGTGACCCAGGATCTGGCTCATACCTTACCATTTTTAAACTGATTTTGTGATGTTGGGAAGCCCAACCACAGCCCTTCGCTACATCTCCATTTCCACTTTTCAGAGGACCAGTGCCTGTAAATTCATTTCTCAGCGCATCCAGGTTGAGAACAGAGCAAAAACTGCATGAGGACTGCATTTTAAAATACGTTCATATATATGACTGTACACAGCACTGTGTTTCCAAACAAATCCCGAGCTGCTCT